TTATTTTTAAAAATATTTTTATATATATATATTTTTTCCTTCTCATTTATACTCCAGCCCTACCTCACAAGCACCCGAAGCTTATCTCCAATGTCTGGACTTTTTGGTTCCATCTGGGCCCCTCAAAGCGATGTGTATGAAAATTGCTGTCCCATCAACCCCACCACGGAACATTCGACCCACATGGAAAGCCAGGCGGTCATGTGCAAGGAATACTACCCGGGGTTTAACCCTTTTCGTGCCTACATGAACCTGGACATATGGACTACGACGGCCAACAGGAATGCAAATTTCCCACTGTCTAGAGACTCGAGCTACTGTGGGAATGTATGAGGAGAGTTCGATTTTTAAACAATGTGAATAAAGAGGCTTGTGTTTTGCTGACTAGCGTAAACTGGTTCTTGAGATAGATGATGACGTTGGTGGATATTTTGGCACTTTTATATGGAAATAAACTTTTTTAATGAAATCTGGGCGCTCTATTTTTTTGTTTGTTTGTTTTAACCCATCGCAAATCAGTGGTGGAAACTAAGCATCCGTATGTCATAAGTCAAGAAGTGTGTCAGACATGCCCAGTGTTCAGAGCAAGGGAGACTTCTGAGGAGGTGAGGCCGGAGGAACACGTGGCTGCCGTGGTTCCCCGAGCCGCCTTCGGCATCGGAACCCCCAGGGAGCTCGCAACAAGTGGAGCTGACCAGGTCCCGTTCCCAGAGATTCTGTTGTCATCGACTCGTGGCTCGGGCTATCAGGATCTTTTTTCCCCCCAATTTCTCCACCAATCGTAACGTGCAGCCAGAATCGAGAACCGCTGGCTGCGAAAGTGCCGCTGAGCGGCTGGTCACCTGCCTGGATGGGCCCTGCTCAGGGCGGAGCGCAGCCGCAGCTCCCTCCGGCCCTGGTGGTCCTTCCTGGCTGCGGGGTGAGGCAGGGAGCCTGGCACTGCTCCTCCTGCCGGTTACGGCACGGACGTGCCCGCCGTCAGGCTCGTCGGCCAGGGGCAGTGCCAGCAGCAAGGACATCGGTAAGTGCTGGGCTTCCCTCTCGGGGAGCAGCTTTGCTCCAAATACAAGCACGCGGTGGGGTGAGGTGGCCGGCTGATGCACGTTCGCCGTACTGGTTTGTACCGCGTGTCAGTGATTTTAGCAATCCGTGCGATGGTGGAATTCCTTTTTGGCATGTGTAAACTTTGAAAACAATTTTTAACTTTTAATAAAAAATGTCATATTTTTACATTTCGTTTCATCTTTATTGGAAATTCAGTAGGTGGGATTTTTTTTTGAGCGGCCTGCTAGGTGTGCTTGCTTTGAGTTTGTTTCTCTTGCCGCGGGTGGGTGGGGGCAGGGACAGGCCGGGCAGGGGTACTGGAAACCTGTGACTGCCCTGCTAGAAGCAGCGCCTGCAAGCATGCAGCTGCTAGAACGTCTCAGGTTACCGAGGTAGAACCCTGATTCGGGTGAAGCAGACCCCCCTCCCTAACCCCCACAATACTGAATAATGTTAAAAAATAATTTAGGTTCTAGACATATAACCAGAAGAACTGAAAGCAGGGACTCGAACAGATATTTGCACCCATGTTCATAGCAGCATCATTCACAGCCCAAAGGTGGAAGCAACCTAAATGCCCATCGACGGGTGTACGGGTAAAGAAAACATGATACATACAGTGGGATATTATTCAGCTTCAGAAAAGGAAGGAAATTCTAATATGCCACAACATGGATGTACCATGAAAACATGCTAAGTGAGATAAGCCACTCAAAGGACAAACACCACATGATTCCACTTATGTGAGGTCCGTCCTGTAGTCAGATTCTTCGGCAGGAGATGGTGGATGAGGGGAAGAGGAAATGGGAAGTTAGTATTTCATGTGTATAGTTTTAGTTTGAGAATATTTGAAAAGGTTCTGGAGACGGATAGTGGTGATGGTTGCGTGATAATGTGAATGTGCTCCATGTCACTAAATTGGACACATAAAAACAGTTAAAATGGTTAAGTTTTGTGTTATACATGTTTTACCACAAGAAAATAATTTAGGTTGACTTGAAAAGCCGCAAAGCATTTTTCGTATCAAATCAAAACTTCCCTGCTGCAGAGCAATGAGACAGATGTGCGTTCTACTCAGAATAATTACTGATCTAATTTACTTTCCTACTTTCATTGATCCTTCAATTCCCCATCAGGAAAACATGAGAAACCCAAGTTTTTCCACTCTACACAAAAGAAAGTAAAAATTGTCACATTAACTGGGATATTATCTTTAGCCCTCGGTAAAATCAATGATAGGGAAACTGGAAGTTTTTATTCATTTGATATTTACTAAATGCCTTCTAGGAGCCACGCCCTGTCCCCGGAGCCATGGGTACAGCAGAGAACAGGGCAGACAAGGTCCTGCTGCCCTGGCACATGCCAGAAGGAGGGACAAGGAAGAAACAAGCAAAAGAGTGGAGGATGCTTTGGATGCTGCTGCATGTTCTGAGGGCCATTAAATGGTGATGTGCTAAACCGGGGGGAGGGGGCAGCAGGTACTTCAGGGCGATCAAAGAAAGTCTGCGGAGGTTGTAAATCCTTTAACGACAAGA